AAGCCTGTTTCTTCCTCAGTACAGTGGTGTTAATACTGGTCAAAGAGTATATACTGCATAACATTATGGCTGAGATAAGAATGTGGGTGGAGCTACAAAGCCCTTTGCACACAGCGGTCCCTGTAATGGCTGTGTTTGTGCACATACGAGTCCCTAGCATGTGTGCTGGTGGACAGCAAGCTCTGGGAGGGAAGGCCTGGCTTTCCCAGAGTGACTGTAATAGAGAGAGAATGTCTCTGGAGTTGGGAAGATCTAGATTTGAAGTCTGCCTTCTCTCTGATCTGGTGTCCCATCCAAAAAAAAAAGATAATAGTTCTTGTTTCATAAGTTTGTTTGGGGATAGATTATTTCATTAAAAACTCCTAGGTTAGATCCTGGCACATGGTTGGTTCCCTATCATTTCATTCTTCAACCTAATAAAGATTCATTGATCACTTAGTGTGTACCAGACTCTTTCCTAGGAACCAGAGATAAAGCGGGAAGCAAAATAAAGTCTCAGTGCTCATGGGGCTCACATTCCAGCTGAAGAAGAAACACAGTAGACAAATGAGGTGGTACTATGTTGAAAGGTGTAAGTGCTGAGGATGGGGAACAGGGTAAGCGGGAGAGAGAATGCTGGGGGTACGACTGCCCTTTCCATCAGGGCGTTGACCACTCTGAAGAAGCAGACCCTGAAGGAAGTGAGGCAGTGAGTTACCTGAGGAAGAACATTCTAGAAGAGGAACAGCAAGTGCCAAGACTCTAAGGAGGGAGTGTGCTCTGCATAGTTGAGGAACACTGAAGGGACCCGTGAGATGAAGCACAATGAGCGAAGGGGAAGTAGCAGGAGGTGAGGTCAAAGCAGAGGCCACATGAGGAAGGACCTTGGAGGTCATTGTAGGGGACTGTGGCTTTTCTTCTGAGAGACATGAGGCCACTGGAGTAGCCTCTCCTTTGAGTAGAGGAGTAACATGATCTAGTTCATACTGGTAAGGAATGGCTTGCCCACTGTGGTTCTCAGGGATGACAGGGGCAATGCCAGAAACAGGGAGCTATTTGGGGGTCATCATAAAATCCCTGGGCAAAGATGATGGCATGGATCAGAGTGATGGCAGAAAGGTGGTTGGATTCTGGGTCCATTCTGTAGGGCCCGCGGATGTGCTGCTAGACTGCTGGCAGCAGGGCCGGGAACAGAGCTCAGCATGGCTTCTGGCCTAGGCATGCAGGAGCGTGAGCTGCTGTTTATGGAGATGGTGAAGACAGCGGGAAACCGGCTGGTTGGGGGCAGGGAAAGGGTGGAATCAGCAGTTGTTTCAGATACCTTAAGAATGAGAAGCTACGAGACTCTTAGTGAAGATGTTAAACAGACCACACAGGCTGAACCAGTCTAGAGTTCAAAAGAGAAGTGCAGGCAGGAGGTATGGGTTAGGCTGGAGGTGGGCATTAAGAGATGTCAGCATGTAATGACGTTGAAAGTGTGGAGCTGGCCACCAGCCCAGTCACGACTATTTCTCTCGTCTTTCCAATGCTGCACATCAGCACCTAGATGGGTTCCTGGCAAAACAGGGTGCAGGCTCACAGAAACTACTCAGTGGCCACCCTAGTGCACGTTCAAAGGGAATGAGCAGAGGGAGGTTCGAGAGGACCAGTCTAGCCAATAGCTGTGCGGAGGGAGCGGTGTGGGGCTGGGGTGTAAACAGCAGCCCCGGCCCCGCCCGCCACGCCCTCCTAGCGCTTTCTCCATCCTGGACTTGGGACATGCTTTCCCAGCCATGTCGTGCCAGTGAGGTCCTGTCAGCAGACACCATCTTTCCTTGCAAGTGGACCAAGGAAACGTCTCTCCTGGAAAGCCTCAGAGGGAGACACAATGAGAGGAATGCACATGCATCATTGAGGAGGGTTTCCAGTCCTTTGGGTCCAGGCTTCTCGTTGGAGGGGCTCAGAAACTGAGGGCAGAGTTGGGAAACTGCCACACACACGTCTGGGAGAGGACCAGGAAAGGCCAAGGAGGCTGCATGACCAGGCAACCCTCTTAGAATGGCCTGGAATAATCAGAAAATTCAGACTTGGGCTGCGCTCTGGTCAACCACAGCCCCAAGTCCAGCAGTAAGAGGCCCCTTCCCAGCCCCTGTGGATGGCTTTTCCGCTGCTGAGGGAGGGGGATGGGAAGTAGCCAGGGCCTGTTCCCTCCCATCTGTCGGGATTATTCCCAGTCTCCTGAGGTTATAATAGTGCTTCCTTTCTTTCTAAAGTCGGAGATGGCTGGGATACATCTTCAGCACATGGTCCAAAGAACCACTGCTGTGAGGATATAACCTCTTCTGCACAGAGATTCCCATCCTGCCCTGCAGGACAATGTGAAATGAGGCGTCGTATGGGAGAGGGTTAGGGCCAATGGCCAAGTCTTCCAGTTAAGCTCGGGCTACAGGGCATTGGCTCTGACCCTGGAGACGCTGCAGCATGAATATAAGAACATTCATTTCTTTCTCGTGCCTTTAATTTCTTTTCTTTTTATGAATGTTTTATAATAATTCAACGTTGTAGTACAGGAGTACCCATGTGTATCATTTATCCTTAAATGACCACACTGGCCGTTTTTAGCTGGTGAGGGGTTTGATCAAAAGTGTTAGAAGACCTCCTATTTTAGAGGAGAAGCCAAGGGCTCGTGGTGAAGCTGGTATCTCCTCAGTGTCTCCTGAATGTGAGTCTGCCTCAGTATCACATCACAGCCCCTGAGGTGACACGCGAGTTACACGGGACTGCTCAGCAGCAAAACAGATGGATCAGGGGCGAAAGCACTTTCTCCTGGGCTGTGAGTCAACTGGATGGAAGCTAACAGTTACTAAGCTCTGCTCTGTGCCACCTGCGTGCACATGCGTGCACACACACACTCACACTCACGTACATTTACACAATCCTCACACACACACCCTCTCACACACTCATACACACTCACACACATGCACTTGCTCTCACACACACACATTCACACAACCTTCACACACATTCACACACACCCTCTCACACACTCACAAACATTCACACACATTCACACAACCCTCACACACACACCCTCACACACATTCACAAACACACACTCACACAGCACATTTCTCTCCACATACATACATATCCGTACACATATGGCCCTGTAGGAACACCAGCGATAGCAAATCGATCGCATTCTCTCCCACCTGCCACGCTTCCCGAGACAGCCAGTGTCAACGGCCTGCTGTGTATCTTTGCACGTCACTGTCCTTCACACAATACACATAAAATTACACTCCCATTGTTAGAGACAGGCGCAGACTGGCTGTTTTCAAATGTGAATGCTGCCTAAATTTCACATTGCTCTGCACCCTTATCTTTTGCTTCCCAGTTAACAACGTATCACAGGCCTTCCTCGAGCCCGCGGAGGTGGAGCGTGTGCCCTCCTCTCCCCACCGCATCACAGTTAATAGCTCACGCGCGGCTTCATTTATTCAGCCACTGCCCTGGTAATGGACATTTGAGTTCCTTCCAACGTTTCGCCACAATACTTCCCGCCGTGGTAGCACCCTTGCCTGTGTGTCACGCCAACGTGGCGCCTCTGTGGCTGTAAGTAGATTCCCCAGGTGAGGTCATGCCCAAGGGGATAGAACAATTTAAGGGGACTTGAGATCTCATTTGCGTGGATGATTTTGTTGTTAATTCTGGCTATGCTGCCTTATATCCCACAGAGCCAGACAGACAGAGCCCTGTGTTCAGTGTGCGTGTCCTCGCTGTGTTCCGTGCACTGGGGCTGCCTCTCCCAGTCTCAGTGGGACAAGTGTCCTTCATGGGACAGGGGTGTCTGCGGGCTGGAACCTGAAGCTACAGAGCTCCTGGTCAGCCTCTGCTCGCCGTGTCCCAAAGTGATTCATTCACGAAGTCATTTGCTGCTATGGGTGTGGCTGTGTCGGTGCTGCTCACAGCTCTGCACATTTCTTATTTCTGAACCCCAACCCCCCCCACCTCCCCCACTCCTCATAGAGCCTGTCCACAGAGCAGTTATTCAGTGATTGCTTTGTAAATGAGCAAGTAGTCAATGACTCTTGGCCAAGGTCAGAGCCAGGGCCACATCCAGCAGGGCCGTCTGAGGGGCCCTCCTACCTTCACGGCCTTCGCCCTGCTGATGAGCCCGTCATCCTGAGAACTGCCGATGAGCAGATCGACCTCGCCCTGCGGGACCCTCTGCAGCGCTCTGGCGGGAGCCTCTCGCAGGTACTGGCCGTCAATCACAGGACCCCAGTAGTGGAAGGGGCCACTCACAGCCAGGAGCTGCATCGGTGCAAAGGATGCTGTTGTTTATACGGATTTTACTCTTTTTAAAGGAAATGGGGCTGCAATATCCAGTGGCATTGCTTCACTTAACCATAAAGGACATGGTCCTGGTGGTCCATCTGGGGCTTTATTGGGAAATCAGAGTAAAATGACCAGAATGACAGGCAGGCAAGATACCAGTGACACTGCAAGGGGCTAGAAGGTGGGTCTCCATCTGAGCAACGTTTGGTCCCCAGGAGCTACCAGAGCCATCCTATGGAGGTGACAACATCCACAGGGAAGAATGGGTGAGCGAGGAGTGTGAGTGAGGCAGGAGGAGACACTGATCAAGGTGGGGTGGTGGCCAAGGTGGGATATAACAGGGAAATATATCAGTGTTGGCCTCTATTCAATTAGCTCACATTTGGGGGAGCTGAGGCTCAGATCCACTCCAGATCTGCAAGTCTAGGTTTATTGCCAAAAAGACCAAGCAAGCCATCAGCTGAGATGACAGCATGCTCCCTGCTGGCATCCCTTTTATTCACATCAGAGCCAGCGAGAGACTGCGAACTGGATCTTTGTAGGTAAGAAAAGGGAAGCACATAGCTGCTCTGTCTCAGGGGCCGGGTGGCCCAGCTCCATTGTAGTGTGACTGTGACACTCAGCACATGTAGTTGTGGCCAGATGGAGTGCCAGCATGGTCCCCGTGTAGATGGGACCCTGTACACAGGTTACTTCATGTTGTTCTCCTGCTCCACAAGTCCCGCATGGCTATCCCCACTCTACAGATAAACTCCCAGGGGCACAGAGACCTGTCGGCCAAGTGCCCACGCTTGGTCCACAACATCCTGGTCCATGCACAGCCCTGGGGCAGGGAGTGTGCATCTTAGTGCCAGCTGCTCATCAACCTACAGTCTGGCCCTAGGTGGGTCAGGTCTCCTTCCTAGGCTTGGTTTTCTTTTGTAAAAAGTCAGAGAATGTCCCTTCCCAGTTTTCACACAAGTGCCCACCTTGGTCTGGGCGTCATTGAGGATGCTGGCGGGCTTCTGACGGAGGCAGGATATCATTTCTTGGATGGACGAGGTGGGGCAGCTGACCTCCTTTGACAAAGCAGCTGCCTGCTGCTGAGCCCTCTCCCGGCTGATGACAGCGGCGGGGGACAGTGCAGAGCCACCCTGCAAGAGAGAGCAGACGAGGGCTGATAGTCTTCATGCTTCTTTCCTCCTCTCAGCACAGACCTCAGGGCATACAGGGCTCTGGTCCTTCATCTACACCCAGGAGTCCCAGGACTCGTCCCGGAGATACCCACAGGCATTTGGGAAGTCAGGGCTGATCAGTATTATATCAACATGCTGCGTGGTCTTGCCCAAATGTCTCCATCTCAGTTTCCTCATCTGGGAAGTGAGGGCCCTGGATGGGGTCATCTCCAGTTTTCACTGTGAACTAAGGCTGCACATTGAGGGAAAGGGCTGATGGTGGTTGAATGGGACTAAGATCAGGACTGGAGAGAACTCTGCTATGTCTACTTCACTGTCAGGTCCAAGGAGGGACCTTGTGGCCAGAGGCGAGCAGGGACAGTCGGAAACCAACCGGAGGGAGAGGGATGCATCGGGGTGGATCCCGAGATAGCCACACTGTGTCCCTGAAGGACAGGTGCAAAGGACAGGCACATGGTTTCCTGCCCTCAACCCATTCGGATTAGCGGGGGCTCCCGCCGCTGGCCGGGAGGTGTGCCGTCCACCTCCAGCAGGGCCTTCTCTGAGCCTGGCGTCTGTGAGTGAGGGAGAGCCCCAGGCTCCCGGTGGGAATTAGCAGCAATGAACATAAAGTGCCCAGCCAGCGCCAAGGTGACAACACACAGGGGCAGGATGATTGCCCGTGGGTTCATCTTTCTAACAAGGAGGGGTCAGCCTTCTGAGAATCACTGGGCATGCTCAGTCTCTAGAGAACATAGAGCATGTGCACACATACACACACGCACACACACACACACGCACGCACACATGCTCAAGGTCAAAGCCTCACATTCTAAATTGTGAACTGACCAGGCCTACTGCAGAGCTGCAGTGGGGGCCTCGGGGAGATGTGGATTTGGGGATAGGCCCCTCTAATCTTGTCAACATTGTCCACAGCTATAAAAAGCCCGAGTTCCTGATATGGTGAGGAAGTGGTTAGAGGCGTGGGTTAGACTGATACTGCCAGAAAGCTTAGAGAACTTTCCTCTCAAAGTATTTTGTTTCAATTGATCTTCCTGAAGGAAACCTTTCTCTTCATGGAAAAGCAATGGTTAAACAAGACAACAGCCCAACAGCCGGCTCAGCCCTCACTTGAAAGCCCTTGCTTGGAGACAGGAGCTGGGGGGAGGGTGCTATGCGGAGTCCTGCAAAGGTCTGGGGCTTTCAGGGCAGAAGGACAGGTTTAAACTCCAGCTTTATTAACCCCACTGATGAGGTGACTGGGGGCATGGGCGTGAGGCTGACATCTGAGGGCCTCAATTTCCTCATCGGGAGTGGGAATGATAAGCCCTCCTTCACAGTCACTGGGAAGATGCACGGGTTGGGGTGTCCTCTGCAGAGGGGTGGAGGTGGGGAGTGAGGGTGTAGTTGGTGTCCTGGGGCTCCAGGGTTCAGAGTAGCGAGGTCTTGTCACACTGCCCAGTCACACCAGCAGCCCCTGGGCCCTGGGCCGGTGCTTTATCTAAATCTGACCTAGCTATTCAATGGCAATGAGTTTCCGCTTGTTTTGTGTGGGTGTGTTTTTTTTTTAACTTTAAAAATAGTGTAGGGCAAAACCACAATTGCTGACCACTGCTTTTTCTCCCTGGAGCCTCTGGACATTGTGAGGTGACCTGACCTCAGTTAGCCACCAACTGAGGTGACCTAAGTGAGTCACCTCAGAGCCCGGTCTTGCCCCTGTCCAAGCACGTATAGACACACAGTCACAGACAGAACACTCACACGCAGACACACACCCACACTCAGAAACATCCAGTCACAGAGAGAAATGCACACTCACAGACACACATCATACCCACACACACTCAGAAACACACAGTCACAGGAACACCCGCTGACACTCACTCAGAAACTTACACACACTCGCACACGCTCAGAGACACGGTCTCGGGAACGCACGCAAACTTTCTGGAAATGGACACCTCAGAGTTTCACCTGCTCTGAGGAACCACTCACAGGCCTTCCATGAAGAAGTTGCTGACCACACAGAGAGAGAGAGAGCTTCTAGGATAAATGTCCCAGGGGGGCCCCCTGGCTCTTTCTTAGGGGGATCAGTGAGTCAGAACACGTGGCTCTGAGTGAAAAGGGAGTCCCCGGGAAGTACCTTCCCAGCACCCCTCAGACGAGACTCCTCCCAGATGAGGGACGGTGCCCTTTGCCTCCTGGGGAAGGGGGATGTGTGGGAAACTCCAGGCCCCATGGCCACCATGTGGAACCAAGGAGTCGGTTCACATGGATGCCTTGCCACAGAGCCCTGCACATATTCATACTAATGATGCAATAATCATCATTTTGTAAGTTTTTTTTTTATCTTGGCCTAAAATGTCACTTACTAAAACCCCCTATTACAGCACAGACCGACGGGTAGCCAGAGCCTCGAAATCTCTGTCTTGGGGGCCTGCTCAGTCACACATCTGCTTTTTAAAATAGACTCTACCCAGCAGGACACAGATACCGGTGGACTGGAGATGAGGCTCTCCATCAACAGGGGCAAAAGAAAGACAGAAATTCTCATGCTTTGGGAATTCAGAGGAGGGAGAGGTCTCTGAGTATGAGGGTAGCTCGAAGGAAACTGCACAGAATTAGGACTTGAGTGGACTTCGATGGGAAGAAATGGTTGGGGAAAAGAAAGAGAGTGGGTAGCCATTCTTGGGGGAGGGGCAGGGATGGCAGGTGGGTTCAGGGGTCTGATTACACAAAGGAGCTGTACAGGTACGCCAGGAGCTAGTCCCAGGTATCCCAGCATCCCCAGAATATGATCTGGAACTCAGAAAAATATGTATTGAAGGAGGGAGCCAGTACTGTGTGAATGAGGGCGTGGATGGGTAAATGGAT